CTCCACACTGTAACGCACTCTAATCGGAATCCAAAACGCAAACGCCTCGACTGGCAGTTTTCGCGATTTTGTCTCTCCGTACCCTAGCTTACGTCTCTTTAGCATGCTCCTCCCGCTAACTCACGTTCAGATTCAAACTGATTGAACTGGTGCCGCCTAGACGTCAACCAGCGGTCGGCGAGCCGTAAGCGCGTCACCTAGCCGTAGCCGAGTCGACGTACTGGAGCTGTTTATCCACTTTTTCTAACAGGGCAAATATAGGTGGACGCTTGTTTGACGGCATGCCAAAAGGTGAGTCGGTATCGATCCCCTTCCAAGTTGATATGTGTGCATCTATTCGTTGAATGTCATTCACGTCTATGCTCCGACCTCAACATATCCAGATGACGAAGTGGAGGCGTTCTATGGTTAGCTCTCTAAAGCCATGGATAGCCACTCCGTTAGGAAAGCGTTGCGGTGATGAGTTGAGAGTACAGTAGTTTGGAGTTGGGCAAAGGAACGCCAGAGGTCGGATGTTGGTTGATTTCATAGAGAAGGAGAACCTCTTTACGATGAGCTCCTACTTCACGAAACCGTTAAATCGAAAATAGGACTGCATGAGTCCTGACAGTAAAGAGATTGACCTTATCATGTCGACGAAAAAGCACATTTTCTATGATGTCTCAGTGATCAATGCCGTCAAAACAGAAAGCGATTACCATGTAGTAAGAGGCACATTGAATATCAAATTTAAACTGGAAAGATCTCGACTGATAAGGTCTACGCTCTGACCAATACCCGCACAATTTCAATACCCCGAGAGATTTCAACTCGGGACTCCAAAACAGCTTTAAAACCTTTGAAAACAGCCTGGATGTGGACGATCTAAACAATATTATTGTCGATATTGTCCGTACGATCGATTTCAAGTGTTTCGAAACCCACCGTCCTAGAATAAAAAAACTCAGTAACTTGGCACTAACTTATGGAACAGCGATATGAAATGAGGTAACAGACCTCAGCCGATGCAAGTATCTTTTGTTAAATAGGCAGATTTCTAAGTCTTTGACAAGAGAACTTCGCCAATTTAATACTAATCATATTAAAGAAGCTATAGAGCGGTATAAGGTCTCTAAAGTGTTTGCAAGAGATCTGTCAATTGGGCAAAGTCAATTGACAACGCTGAAACCTGACGACGGTAGCATCATTTCGAATAAGTTTGAAATCCTGAGGGAGATTGAGAGGTTCTATCGGCAGCTATATTTCACCTGTTGAAAGCAAGGCCAAATATCCCAGATCTAAGCTTACCCAACACTATACCGAAGATATCCCGGATGTCAGTCTGTATGAGATTAGTATGGCTCTCGAACTTAAAAACCACAAAAGCGACGGGCGATGATGGAATCACTACAGAGGTTTTGAGAGCAGGCGGTAAGCCGATACTTTAAACCCTCCAGAAGGAAATGAGGAGTATAATCACTTTGCTTGGCGTTTGTCGACTAAGGAAAGCTTTTGATTGGATTGAGACCTGGGCGGTGCTGCAGTCTCTCCAAAGGTGCCAAGTAGACTAAAGGTATCTCGAGGTGTTAAGGTTTACGAAAACGCCTCTATGTCAGTCCTATAACAGATTCTAGCTCTAATTCGACCAACCGATCCAACTGCGACGAGGCTCGAGACAGGGAGACGTTGTATCTCCGAAACTGTTTTCTGCTGAGTTGGAGGATTTTTTCAAACTCTTGGATTGGAAAGGACGTGGCATCAATATCCATGGCTAGTACCTGACCCACCTTCGCTTTGCCGATGACGTATTTCTTATGGCTGAGACCAAGGAATACCTGAACACTATGTCTAAAGTAGAACATGATAAGACGAAAATTATGTCGAATGTCCATGTTGTACCTACTCTTGTTAAAATTGGGAATACGCCACTCGAAGTTGTCGACCATTGCGTTTACCTGGGGAAAACAGTTCATTTAGGTAAGTCCAACTTTGAGAAAGAGGTTTTTCGTTGTGTTCAGCTCGGATGGGCAGCGTTCGGGAAGTTACGTTAAACCTTTACCTCAGTGTTTCAAGACAAAAGTCTTTGACCAGTGTGTGTCATAAGAAGGCTCAAGGTCGCACAGCGGGTAACGGAGAGAGCGATGCTTGGTATTTCCTTGTGTGATAGAATCAGAAATGAAAAAATCCGCAGGAGATCTAAAGTAACTGACATCGCTCGAAGGATTGCTCAGCTGAAGTGTCATTGGGCGGGACACATAGTGAGGAGCACCGCTCTCAAATGGCGACCACGCACCGGACGACGCTCCTATTTTTACCTAAGCCATGGGAGGTGATATATTTATTATGTTACAGAGAAATAAGGATAAATATTTCCAGGTATACCAGGAAAATCGCTGGTATCCTCATTTCACAGCAACATATATGCTTATTTCAATTAAACAAATATATATTTTTCTATGATCATATTCAGATTTTTTAATCTGGTACCCTAGTACCACATGACACAAGCCTAATGCAAGCATTCTACGTAAAACACCAAAGGACAATCGGCAGAACACACCCAGCTCCGCCAACAATGTAATAAGTATGAATCGATAGATCTATGAAAACCTTTTTTTATTATGAAACCGTAAAAATATAACCTGGTACTCAAAAGATATGATACATGGGCATATTTAAGTAGCTTAATAAATTAATTTTATAGTACCTTCATTTTATATTATTAGTAGCCATAATAATATGTCATATCGTAGTTACAGATATACGACAAAGCTTACCGACCATCCTGCGCTTGTACTTACTGAGACACCTCAATTACGGGGATTGAAGGACTTGCAGTTGCAAATAGTCGACTCCTCTTACTTCATTGCGATTGTGCGCTCCCTGTCACTTGATTGATTTTTATTTAACACGCTTTGTCACGTCAATTAGTATGGATGAGCTGGAATCATGTTTTCTCCGAAGCATGGACAAGTTTGTGTGATTTGTGGTCGCTCCGTTTTACATAGAAGACAATTTACTATAACGAACAGAATGTTTGGAAAAAAACCCAACCTATGCGGAGATTTTTGGATTTACTCTAGCTCGGCAGAATTACATATGGGGGTAATCTTGCACCTTGTGAAGTACTCGCAAATTACCTGAGCCCCCTATGTAGGGTCGAACTAACTAAATTAATTTCCATGTTTAATTTTTTTTTATATCTCCCCAACAACATGGGTTTTTTTTAAGAATAGAAGTGTCGATACAAATTTGATCACATTTACAGATTACTTAATGCAAGCAATGGATGAAAATTCCCAGTTAGATGTCGTGTATACCGACTTTTCCAAAGCGTTTGATAAAATTAGTCATAATCTGCTTATTGATAAACTTATGGGGGCCGGTATACACGGCAACCTGCTGAGCTGGATCGAATCTTATATTAAAAATAGATTTAAAGAATAGTCATCAAACATAGTTACTTTATGCAGATGATGCATTTTTTTTAAGGTAATGAAATCTATGGACGATTGTAAGAAACTGCAAAAAGATTTGGAAGCTCTGAGTAATTACTGTTCATCCAATCTATTGTTTTTAAATATAAATAAGTGTTCTATGTTATTCTTTACCCGAAAAAGGAAACAGTACAACTTTCAATACACATTTGAAGGCAACAATATCAAGCGCGTCACTAAAATTAGAGACCTTGGTTTGATAATGGATTCGGAACTAACTTTTAATCCTCACATAGACCACATATTAAACATAGAATTTCGTAGGTTAGGATATATACGCAGAATATGTCTTTTACAGAAATATCCTTTTACAGAAATTATTACCCTTATAATATTATATTTTTCTTACGTCAGGTCTCTTCTAGATTATTGCAGCACGGTTTGGAGCCCATGTTATCTAAAACATATACAAAGAATAGAAAGAGTGCAGAGTAAATTTATTAAACCTCTTAACTTTCGCAACAATGTAATAGATGAATCATACAGTGAAGCTTTGGTCAGATATAAACTGATTAGTCTTTCTAATCGTCATAAAATATTTGACATTATCTTTCTTTCCAACTCTTAAACAACTCCCGGTGCGCTCCTCAAGTAAATTGCAATTTTTTGTTCCTTCGCCGTTACGCAAAAACTATATACATTATACTGTTTATAACAAAGAGTTCTCTGATTTAGTTTGAGTTCGATCTTTGTAATCTATCTATTAATAGTTTAAATTTATGAAAAATGTAATTTATATAATAAAAAATTGTTAAGCATTAGATGAATACACGTGCATATCTGATTATGTTAAGTCTCTCTTTGCTACTATAAATGTAATAAGCTTTGGGCACTGTTTGGTCTATTAATATTTACCAATATGCTTGTACCTCAATATTATGTAAATCACTGTTTGTTGCCAAAATAAATGAAAAAAAAAATTATCGTGCGCTATAGTACTTGTACCTATTTAACTTAGAATGACTAAAGACCCCCCGGGGTGGAATGCGCTTTGGCACAGGTGGTCTTGTCTATAATACCTTTGTTTTATTAGACGTGGGTGCAGCGTCCATTAATTTTTGCCCAATGACCTTTCCGTTCTGTAACTCATTCCGTTTCGATCTAGAGTCGCTATGGCGACTGGCAGTATTTTACCTTTATTCCTACGAATGGGAATAAAAAACCCGAAGAGGGGGCAATGACTGGATGAATGGGGTCTCTGGTGGCAAATGAGGAAATAATTGAAGTAGGAGCAATGACTTCATTCCCATTTGCCTCCAGTGGCAATCCCCGCAAGGGAGACTGGGAATAAAGGTAACATATGCCCAATGTCCCCCGCGGTAGACACAGACAGGCGGACGACAGAGTTACAGCAATAGAGTTCCGTTTTTACCCATTCAGTAGGGAATCCTTTAAACTTAAAAACTGAAAGTTATCAAATCGACAAAAAAGAACATTAAAAATGGATTCCGACAATAAATGGAATGCTATCAGAAATAGAATAGAGGAAATTAAAAATGAAACGTAATAAAACCTGCCACATTTGATTACATTAACTTTATTATCTGCTTTTTGTCACTATGTTGTTAACATTTTGGTTTCCAAGGAATCATCTAAGGATATAATGTGTGTAGTTTAATCAACTGCTTGAAATCAGATTATTAACTATGGAATTGGTCAGTAACTGATAGAAAATTTTATTACCAAATAGTTAAGCGGTATATAATTTCAGATATATACACTTTTTTTAGATCTTTAATTTTATTTACAATCTATAGTTTAAGTGGAAATATAGCTCCAATATATATATATACATACAGCTGTATGCTGATACTATCCCCTTTAAGTAGAAACTAATTGATCCCTCTTACATTACACAGCTCTTTTGCCACCAGTCTACACCACTAAATCATTATTTAATTACTTACGTTAATAAATTATACACTACTTGTAGAGACGCTATTTTTTGATAGATAAGTTCCGTTTGAACGATGGACACTGATATCTGGAAAAGAGAGATATTCTTTATCTGTCTTTGTATTATCTAATACTTTGAACCCGGGTTTATTTAAGTCCATTTATTTCTAACTACGGAACTCAGTCGACGTCCCCACATAAGGTGGTATCATACAATTGTCCCTTGCAGATGCTGAGGATCAGGAGTCGGTGTGGGCGTTAGAATCGGGCCCATCGATGTTGAGGGCAAAGCAGCTGCTACTTCCTGATATTCACTCAGGGGAATACTGGGTCCTGGTAGTCTCTCCGGTGGACTTTCCTCTGGAGGTGTGACTTCTAAGCCTATGCTACCGTTCAGCGCAATTTTTATTGCATTTGCATTCTGTTGCTGCTGCTGTTGTTGATGCTGCAGAAGAGAATTAAAATGAGATATTCCAATTTCTTCTAAACTGCTTTTTCTACGCCGAGAACCTACTCCACTCAGACCCTGTCTCAGCGAATTTGATCTTCTTAGGAGAATATCATCTACGACTCGAAGTGAATTCGAGCGTCCTCTAAAGTCTGTTATAATTGTAGGACTGTCAGGTAAGGATAAAGAATTGGCTTTAGTTGTCGATAAAGGTGGAGCGCGAGGTTGCGCAAAACTAGACCCAATTCCAGATCCTCTTCTGCTTGCTACCCCTTGAGCTTGAATCAGTGCTTGTGAGCAAAAACTAATATTTGATTTTCTTCGACTGTTATGACGCTCGAATGTTTTTTGGGCCGAAAACGGTGATGGTCTTACAAGATATCTGAAATGAAAACCTAAATATAATAAAAAGCTCAAGTTATTTAATTTGTAAAGAATATCTTTAATTTACATACATGATATCGCCTTCTTGTAAATTTAAGTCACAACTTGGATTAATTATGACGTATGATAGACTGTTGCGTTTCTCACTGACGTCATCATAGTCAATACCAGTAAGATTAAGGGATTCCATTCTCGACCTTACGAGGTTCGCTATCTCAGCTCTTTCTATTTGCTGTGCATGATTATCTCTTGCTTCGTCTGCGAGACTTGTAGAATACTGTGAAAAAATAAAATATATATTTTATAGTCAACAAGAGGCATAATGCTGGGTTCAACGAAAGGGACGTTTTCTTGATAGATTTACTAATTACAAAATTGTGAGATGAAAATAGCAGGATCCACTTTGACCCCATCGCATTTTGTGACGAATGCGAATTCTGAAACTCTTAATTCCTCTAGGAATCAATAAATTAAAAATATTACAGGAGTAACGAATTATTGCTCTCCATACAAGTACGACAATGAAGCCTTAAAACAGGTTATCTTCAAAAGTCCTCAGAAACAGCTCCGAATTTTGTTTTCTTTAAATATTGTTTTTTTTTATATTATTCAAACTCAAAAACCTTTCAAGGGGGAAAATAATATTTTTTCTTATTTAAACAATATATGCTGCCATGCCGCTAGCGACAAATTACTAGGGACGGGGGGAAATAATCTTCATAATAGATGCTTGAGTGTCTGGTGGCGCCAGGCGAGCAGTGGGTGGATGTGGAAGGAGGAGGAGGAAATGGGGAATTTGATGTTAGTGGTTAAGTGTAGATTTTAGGTTAGTAAGCGTTAGTAAATAGTACACTGAACAGCAAAGAAATCGGGTTACTGGCTGCCTCGGAAGTCCTGATTTAATTATTTTTGAAATATAAAACTTACAACTATCAAAGTTATATCTACAGAATGTGCTTTTCATGATGATTAAAATGAACAGGAATTTATTGATTGATATTTTTTTTAGTTTTATTAAGATTTTTCGAAACAAAAGTGTTGATAAAACCTCTTTAGCATGCTTTAGTAGGTATTTCAAATTACAAAAAAGCCTAATGTCTTTCGTTTCCTAGGTTACTAACATAAATAAAAAACTTGTGATTAGTCATCTTAAATAACAAATTATATAATTAAATTATTTAGAATTCCCTATCCACTGTTATTTCGAATATTATTAAGTGATTGTGGGCCCAGGAATGCAGAAAAACATAGCCGTCATTCATAAAATCAACGGAGTGAATGATTATCCAGAATGGATATTTGCAATGAAAATGTTTTTGTTGAGAGATCGACTTTAATTCTAAGAATCAGCGCTGCAGCGTTCTGCAGACTTACGGTATAGTAGCGAAGTCGTAATTAATGCTGGATATACTATTTCACATGCCGTAGGTAAAGTGGGGATTCACAATTCTCGCATCAAAATTTACTCTAGAAAGATGGTCGCAGATTGTCTGCCGTTTTCATATCTTAAAATATATAATTCCTAATATAATTTATAGAATTTCAAGACTGAAAATTTTATACACCTGCGTTATTTCAGCAAGCTAAAAATAATATGTCATTTATAATATTATTACAAACACATATTCAAAAGACCAGATAGATAGGTCAGTTCTAACATACAGGCAAACCACAATTATATTTTCTAATGCTAATGAAGGCGCACGATTTTGATTCCTTCACTCTTCATCTCGCAGGTAACCAGTTTTGATGCACCTTTGTAAAAACAAAAGATCAGGTTTATTGAATTTAAACTATTTGTTTAGAAGTTGCTTTGGATAAAACAATTGATGTCTTCCTCTACAATTTAAGTGTAATTTTACCTGATCCTCACTCCATTAGTTCGCGATTCTGGAAATCGTATCGCAATTCCATAAAAATAATAAAAAGGCACAGTACGTGTGCAAAACATTTTATTTAAAAGTGGAAACTATACAGGGCGTCCCACGGCTACCTCACACGGAGGGAAAGTTTATTAAATATTGAAGATAGGATATATTACTGAAAGAAGACATCATTTTATTTTTAATAATAACTAGAACTCCATTCACAGATTTTTTTTTAAATCGCCCGTTACAACTGGGAATCAAACTCGTGAAATTTCGAAAAAAAAAACAACATATTTTATGATAACCATCGAAAGGGTTATTAATCATGAGGATTATTTTTTGCTAAGTAACATAGCATTTTAAATAAAGAAAAGTAATTAAATTTAACATTTTATTTCAAATTATTTAACACAAACTAATATAAAACCGGATACGCGTCAAAGTAAGTTAAAATGTTGAGTTCATCATCGTAGACGTTTATCATCCGATGCTGTGGTTTCTGTAAGCGCATACCAAAACGTCTCAACTTTCTTAAAGTATCTACTAACCTTTTAAACACATATCGAGAAGGTACGTCTCTATCAGGTACCACCGCAAAGCTAATATGTCTTTGGAGTTCATAAAGTAAGCTTCCATTAAATCCATTTTATTTTGATACGCAATGGTAAGTAAATTAACAAAAAATTGCAAATAAATGAAAATGAAACTCACAAAAACCAAAAGAACAGACGCTTTAAAATTTATGTGTTCCATTTTGGAATTATTATTTTTATAAATTTCAGCCAATTCTGTCGCACTGTAACACTGACAGTGAGTTCAAAAAGAAAGCATACGTACTACTGTTTGTATATCACTTTATTATTTTTATCACGTAATAAGACATTCCTTTCATTTAAAAGGCTATGTTATTAAGCAAAAAAAAATTCCTTATGATTAACCCTTTCGATGGTTATCATAAATATGTTGTGTTTTTTTTTTTCGAAATCTCACGAGTTTGATTCCCAGTCAGATTATAGCAGGCGATTTTAAAAAAATGTGTGAATGCAGTTCTAGTTATTATTAAAAATAAAATGATGTCTTCTTTCAGAAAAATATCCTATCTTCAATATTTAATATACTTTCCCTACGTGTGAGGTAGCCGTGGGACGCCCTGTATATATCAAATACTTCGAATAATTCTGATAAATGCTGACCGTCAACATCACAGCCGGAAGAGTATGGGTGGATTAATTATTAGGATAATCAAGTTAACATTAATTCTGTTTTCTAAGTACTTTACAAATTTGTGTTGAATTAAAACTAAAGAATACTTATTCAGTCATGCTAGTGAAGGAGTACGATTTTGACTCTCACTCTTCATCTCACTGGGAACTAGAGTGTCAGCAAAAAATATATAAAACACATACACATACACACATCAAAAAAGTTTGCGATTACTGAAAAATAGATTGTTTTTTTGTGTTACAGAAGACTTTCTTTTTCTGATAAGATTCTAATTTTTTTAATTAGAATTAAAACGTAAAACAATAAGATAATTCAATTGTTTTTCCATATAAAAAGACGTGCAATCCAAGCTGACACTCATTCAGAAATCTGACTTAGTCAATATTATCGAAATTAAAAAATAATTCGAAATGATACAAGATACCCTACATGGTATAGTAAATTGTTAATAAAAGTCATATCAGATAAATTAAAAGCACACAAAAAATAGAAAATATATAATAGGCAAATAGACAATATGACATTTTCATATTTGCGCAAAAGACAAATAGGGATAAAACTAGTTTTTACGGGTTAATGCACGAAACTTTATTTATTTATTGACGTTTCGCAGCCTTTTCAGGTCTGCATCGTCAGAATAATGATTTTTTATTTAAAATTGTCGAGCTACCTTCGAAAGACTTATATTGAGCGTTCGGTTATTTCATTGGAAGATTTTTAAAATTTTATTGTCTATGTATGAATTTATTATTTGATTTACTTAATAAAGTATTTTATAATAGGGAATATTCCAATATTCCAATAGGGAAGATGGTTGGTATATACCACCAGCTTGGGAACCTATTATACAGGAGATAAAATCCCAACCCCGAGCACACACTGCAAGACCATCAGATACTATTAGTTCTTTTTGTTTGCATAATTTAACATAAGAAGGAGATAGAAAGCCTCTCTTGAGTTTGTTTCGCCGGTTCTTCTCAGGAAGGTCTCCCAATTTTGGAACCGGTGGTAGTTTACGGTAGTTAGGGTCAAATAAATAAACTCAAAATTACAAACAAGAATTTTAAATAAAATACTTTATTAAGTAAATTAAATAATAAATTCATACATAGACAATAAAATTTTAAAAATCTTCCAATGAAATAACCGAACGCTCAATATAAGGCTTTCGAAGGTAGCTCGACAATTTTAAATAAAAAATCATTATTCTGACGATGCAGACCTGAAAAGGCTGCGAAACGTCAATAAATAAATAAAGTTTCGTGCATTAACCCGTAAAAACTAGTTTTATTTAATGAGTGATGTGCGTGAAAACCTAAGAAACAAATACAAATAGGGATTTTATGTATCATGCTGAATTTAATATAAAACGTAACTCCAAACATTTCTGGGCCTTTGTTAAGTCTAAACAAGCATCGGGTGGATTACCAGGAACAATGTATGTATTATGAAAGTAATGAGTGTAGTGACGGCGGCTCAATAGTCGATTCATTCAATAGATATTTTCAATCAGCTTTTTTACCAAATGATAGGGTTACAAATAGTCATTGTAACGACTACTGTCCGGATACACAGTCTTAGTTGAATATTCACTCAATCAACATTGACACACAGAAAATAGCTAATTTACTTAAAAACCTTGATCCAAGTAAGGGTGTGGCCCGGACGGGATCCCTCCCGTATTTCTTAGGTCATGTTGGGAGCAGCTTTGTTACCCTATAACGGTCCTTTTTAATAAATGTTTACAAAAGTGTTATGTTCCCCTTGTTTGGAAAAAATCTTTTATAACGCCTGTTTACAAGGGTAAGGGTAATAAGCACGATGTTAAGAGTTACAGGCCAATTTCCAAACTTTCTGTGATAACTAAACTTTTCGAAAAGGTAATACACGACACACTATTTCCTTTTCTTCGGCCAATGATAAATACTTTTCAGCATTTTTTTATTAACAAACGCTCCACAGAAAGTAACTTATGCGAGTTGATCGAAATTTTGACAGAGGGTATGGATAACGGTTATCAAATTGATGTCGTGTATACCGACTATTCGAAAGCCTGCGACAAGCTGCCCCATTATTTACTCATTTAGAAGCTAAAAGCAGTTAGTATTCATGGCGATCTTCTCCGATGGTTGGCGTCGTATCTGCGAGACCGTAGTCAGGCTGTGGCAATAAAGGGTTACTGTTC